ACGGATGAATTTTATCTGCCATGTTAAAAAAATAAAAAATATCGCAAGATGGAACCCGAGGAACGATTTCACATTAATAGTAAATTAAGCACAGAGAATAAGTTCATTCTTTACTTATTACTGTTACAATAACGATACAGTTTTTATTCGTGACCAGGTGAGTGTACAGTATACAGGAGATACCTCCGGCCAGTATCACAGCAGATAATCTATCACAACCGAAACAGAATCGTGGACAAAACTTCAGCAGTTCAAGGAGGAAAGAGAATAATTAAGATTGAAGACAAGGGGAAGAAGACAGTGGGTTAGGTTAGGTGAGATGGATGGATAACAAGAAAGGGGTAAAGATAAAATAAAGAAGAAGGGAGAGAATTGATGAAGTGGTTCTAGGCAGAAAACGGATGAGCTGTAAAGGAAGAAGGCGGTATGAAGGGAGAAGGAACGAATGGATATAAGGAGAGAGAGAGAAGGAATTAATGTATGGGAAGGAAGAGAACAGCAGTGTGGGGAAAAAGATGGACTAACACAGATAGTAATAATATATTAAGGCAAAGCGACATATATCCTGAAGCACTTATGATATAGTTTAACGATAATCATTATGTTACGGTGGTGAAGCACAGATATAAATTAATTGACAGAAGTGCGAAGCTTTGTATCAGAAAATAGGAGAGGAAAGGGGGGAGGAGGGGATAGAAGAAGGGAAAAGGGAAGGGATTAAAGATACAGGGAGAAGGAAGAGGAAGAGACTTTCTCCATCATGAAAGAATACGAAGAAAACGAGGGAGAGTGAGAAGGAGGGAGACAACATCACAAGCAGTTAAAAATGTTCATTTTCGTCTCCAGCGAGAGATGCGAGGCTTAGGACTCAGATATTTGTACATAATTATTCATTCCTTTCATTATAACTTCCAGGCTGAAAAGCTCCCCGTGGAGGGTTCCCCACTCCCCCCACCCGCTTGGGGAGTTGGCGGAAAAAGTTGGGAGAGAAAAGGGAGGGAGGGAGGAAGGGACTTTGTGAATGTTCGTCTCTTTAGAAACTCGTTCCTTTGCTTTCATTATCATTAAGGGAAGGTTTAGAGTCTCGGGTGGTCTTTGACGCTGGTGTTTGTGATGTGTTGACACCTGGACACCCAACACACACAATAAACATTTATGATCTTCTAATAATAATACTCAGGTGTCCATACCTTGCTAATGAAGATAATATATAATATAGGATTAAACTCTCAGTTACGATGCACACTAAGGCAAATATGATAATAGGGATCACCTTAAGATTAGACACCCCAGCTTATTTTACATGAAGATTACCCACCCGAACATTAACCTGACCCAACCTACCCTAACGATAACACAACCCTCTCAGGCAGTGCTAGAGTGGATAAACTTAAGAGTAACCCGATCGTGGTAACAAGTGCAAATCTCGGCTAACATCAACTGCAGCGTCAGAGAGTGGGAGCATTGACTCGCCCCTCGCGTCGGCAGCGGCCCCCACTTGACTCATTATCTAAATATAAGAAAAGCTTACTAAGATGTGTATGTGTGAGGGAGGGAGTAACTTGACGGGGGGATGAAGGTGAACATCTTTCATATCCTCCCGTGGGGATTAAGCTCTCTTCTAACTCACCCTCACTATTTAAACACGTGTTAGGTCCCTCCCTCACCTTACAAACACGCGTTAGGTCCCTCCCTCACCCTACAAACACGTGGTAAGTCCCTCCCTCACCATACAAACACGTGGTAAGCCCCTTCCTCACCCTACAAACACGTGTTAAGTCCCTCCCTCACCCTACAAACACGTGTTAAGTCCCCCCTCACCCTACAAACACGTGGTAAGTCTCCCCCTCATCCTATATACACGTGGTAAGTCCCTCCCTCACCCTACAAGCACGTGTTAGGTCCCTCCCTCACCCTACAAACACGTGTTAGGTCCCTCCCTCACCCTACAAACACGTGTTAGGTCCCTCCACAAACACGTGTTAGGTCCTCCGTCACTACAAACACGTGTTAGGTCCTTCCCTCACCCTACAAACACGTGTTAGGTCCCTCCCCTCACCCTACAAAACACGTGTTAGGTCCCTCCTCTCACTACAAACACGTGTTAGGTCCCTCCGTCACCCTACAAACACGTGTTAGGTCCTTCCCTCACCCTACAAACACGTGTTAAGTCCCTCCCTCACTACAAACACTTGTTAGGTCACTCCCTCACCGTACAAACATGTGTTAAGTCCCTCCCTCACCATACAAACACGTGGTAAGCCCCTTCCTCACCCTACAAACACGTGTTAAGTCCCTCCCTCACCCTACAAACACGTGTTAAGTCCCTCCCTCAACCTACAAATAAGTTTTAGGTCCCTCCCCCACCTTACAAACACGTGTTAGGTCCCTCCCTCACTACACACTCGGGTTAGATCCCTCCCTCACCCTACAAACACGTGTTAGGTCCCTCCCTCACTACATACTCGGGTTAGATCTCTCCCTCACCCCATTAACAGGTGTTGGGGCTCCTCTCACCCCACCCATGACTAATGACAAGGACAGGTGTTCAGCTTATCTGTCGGCTTTTAATTCACACTTTCTAGCAGCTGCAATATTAGAGTAGTCAGGTGGACAGTAGACTGTGGCAAGTGTGTGTGTGGTTGTGGTAGAGGTGTGTGGTGGTGGTAGTGTATGTGATGGTAGCGGTGTGTGGTTGTGTTAAAGGTGTGTAGTGGTAGTGTGTGGTGGTGGCGGTGGTTGCGGTGTGTGGTTGTAGTGGGGCGTATGGTGTATGGTGGTGGCGGCGGCGTGTGGTGGTGGTGATGTGTGGTGGTGGTGGTGGTGGATGTATGTGGTGGTGGTGGTATGTGTGTGGTGGTGGAGGTATGCGGTTGCGGTGGTGGCGTGTGGTGGTCGCGTGTGGCGGTGGACGTATGTGGATGTGGTGGGGGTGTGTGGTGGTGGTATGTGGTGTGGTGGGGTGTGGTGTGGTGGGTGTGTGTGATGGTGTGTGTGGTAGTGGTGGTGGTGGTGTTGTGGTGGTGTGTGTGACGTAAGTGTTTGGTGGTGGTGTGTGGTGGTGGTGTGTGGTGGTGGTGTGTGGTGGGGTGTGTGTGTGGTGTGTGGGGTGTGTGTGGTGGTGGGGGTGTGTGGTGGTGGTGGTGTGGTGGTGGTGGTGTGTGGTGGTGGTGTGTGACGTAAGTGTTTGGTGTGTGGTGGTGGTGTGTGGTGGTGGTAGTGGTGGGGGTGTGTGGTGGTGTGTGGTGGTGGGGGTGTGTGTGGTGGGGGTGTGTGTCTAGTCATGGGTAGTACAGTAGAGGTGTTACGTGTTGTGGACGATGACTGCGTAACGTTGAAAAGTCCAGCTGTATCTTTCCTCATCTACGTCCTGAAGTGTGGCAGACATGAGAACACAAAAAGCTTCACCTACTGACCGTAGTTTTGTTTCCCTCGCCAGGGTGAGCAACACGTGAGTCAAATTTACAACGCGGAATGCGTGGGGCGGTCATTGCAACTCTGGCTCTCAGTCAAACTCGTCGGGAATTTGCATGCAGCCGGTGGTCGTTGGATACACATACGAACGATCCAACTAGCGTGTATAGGGGGCGTGGGGAGGGGGACTGTGGTTGATGGATTGGGGCACAAGCCAGGGCCAGGTGCGGGAGATGGGACGCGTTGCCAGCTGGCCGAGGTAAACAGAGCGACGCGGTGGCCACGAGACTATCCGCAGCACGAGGTCACCTCCGAGTGGGTCAGGGCGGGGGCACGAGGGGCACTCACCTGGGTAACGAGAGGCAGTAATGTCTTCTCTATTGAGCGGGTCTTGACTTGTGGATCCATATCGTTAGGTTCCCGCGACGGGCTTGCCATGTTGGCCACACACCCTAACCCGCGCCACTGAGGCCCCGTCCCCGCCCGTGCCCGTGCCAGCACCCACCCACCCACACGCACGCACGTACACACACCTACACGAGGTACACACGCTACGCGCACATGTTGGTGGGTGGTAGGTGGTGCACACTATTGACTAGTAGCTACCACACTCTACATCACACCACCACACGTCCTCAGTCACGACACGGGAACGCCCACGCCAGTTACACTCGTCCACTCACATGGTAACGTTGATGACGTACAGACGATAAAAGCCACGAGTGGATACATTTTAACATTGGTGTCGCCGAGTGTGGGGTGATTACATCAAGTGAGAATTACAACCAATGAAACTTTTCTGTGACGTCAAGAAAGTTGCCAAACACAGAAAGACCCGGTTGATGTGATGTAAAGAAACATTCACTGTAGTCTCAACGTTGTCACTGTAACCATGAAGTGAACTTAGTGATGTTATGCTGCTACGTTGGTACAGAGGCTACAGTGTTACTTTGGCTACATTTATACTTCAGTTATAGTGTTACCTTGGCTACATTTATACCTCAACTAGTGTTACCTTCATGGCTACAATGTTACCTCGACTATACTGCTACCTTGGCTACAGTGTTACTTTGGCTACATTTATACTTCGGCTACAGTGTTACATTGGCTACAGTGTTACCTTGGCTACAGTGTTACCTTGGCCACATTTATACCTTGGCTAGTATTACCTTGGCTACATTGTTACCTTGGCTACTTTTATACCTCGACTACAGTGTTACCTTGGCTACATTATTACATTGGCTACAGTGTTACCTTGGCTATAATGTTGTTGCTTCAGTACTGGACATATAATAAAGTAACAGAGACAGTAACAGGTACACTAACAGGTAATAAAGTAGCAGGTACACTAACAGGAACGGGTAACAATGTAACAGGAACAATAACAGGTAACAAATTACTATCTATGTACGTACATTGTTTGTATACCTGCACTGCCTGTGTATACGCGCTGATTCAGTATGAACTTGTATGACGAGTTTACTGAACATCTGGCTGGAGTGTAGAGGCCAGGGAGAGTATTACAGTACTGTTGTGAGGCTCGACCAGCCAGTGTCTTCACCGGTCCAGGGAGTGAAACAAAGTGATAGAGAATTTATTTTTTATACTAAATTGGTGTTAAAAATATTTAATTACAGTTAATGCATGAAGTACAACAAAGAACTGAGGAAGTACCAGAACATTTTAGCAATATAAAAAAAACAAATTCCTAGAAAGATCTTAAACAAAGAGGACAAAGATAAGTGTCGGATGAGAGAATGTTAAGACTTGACCACAAGATTTAAAATGTTTTTAAGTGATTAAAATGAGTCAAGAGGATATGGGATGCAAAAAGGAGTGTGTGTGGAGGAGCAACTGCTGAGGATGATATGCTGAAGCGTTTCAGTACTGCTGGAAGCAGGAGGCACAGCAGACCGTGCGGTAGTAGGAGTAGCGGCAGAGTCGGGCCTGCTGCACCAGCACACAGTTCTTGAAGCGATCTACACAATTCCTGTCTGAAACACATAGAACGTCTTATTGCATCGCTCATCAAACTCAGTAATATTTATATATTATTATTCTCTGTATAAAAGTGCCCATGTATGCATCGTGAAGGTCATCCCTGGAGGTGACCAGGGCGGTCTTACCACTGGGGGCGTTACAAGGTTGCTCTACACAGTTGCGGGTGGTGGGCGGTTTCTCAGCCAGGTTACAGCGGGTGGACGGCTGCTGATGGTGGTCGAGGCACTGGACAGATCGTGTGCGGCTCCCCCGACCACAAGTACGCGAACACTGTAATAGTAAACACTGTAATAGTCACCTGCATCTATGATAGAGTGATCAATATGAGTCTCCACGGGGAGGACATGACGGTGGGTGGTGGTAGTCGGTGAGTCAGACATGAGGAGTTAAACTTAAGATACAAAATAATAAAATTTATTTATTAATAAAGTATAACAGAACGACCTAATGGCAGCGAAACACGTATACAAATACTCGAGTCTACAAAGGATGAAATGAAGAAAAGTGGAATTTTTGAACAGTACATCAATCCTGTGGTGTTGGTGCTGGGCTGGAGGTACTGTGCGTCAGAGGTGAGGCTTTAGCATGTGACAATCACTTAACAGACGTCGAAAAGAAAAAGGTGATGGAGAATCTGTGTGTTCTTCTTCTGTAAGTGTGTAGACTTTACTGATATCTCTTGTTTCCTCTCAGAACCCCAGACCAGTTACTAAAGTGGGAAACAACACTAAGATAACAGGTAAGGGTTAAAAATGGCATGACACTGTTGTTGAAGCCTGTGTGTGTGTGTGTGTGTGTGTGTGTGTGTGTGTAGGGCTTGGGGTAACTAATCAAATAACAGTAGATTTACCTTTTTTATTTCCCTTGTTTTAGTTTCCCCCAAAAGAACAATATCGAAAACAAAATAAATATGTGGGGGTATCTCGTCTATTTATGAGGGCCATGTGTTCTCGTCTAGCAAGAGGCCAACACTCACCTGGGACCAGTCGGTGTAGTACCAGTGTGGAGGGCAGGGGTCAGGGTTGCAGGGCTGGGTGTTGTTAGGGCGGAGGTCAGCGTTACATTCTATGTCTAGCGTTGCTCTGAAGGTGCCGCGCAGGAACACCACACACACTACCTCTCTGCTGCTTGTGCCGTTACCACACTCCTCAGAACACTGCCACAACCCACAGTAAATATATTATTATTTGTGTTGAAATGTACACCCTGAGAGTTAGATGATAATCATAACTCAAAAAATAGCTTACAACTTGAAGATTTCCTGTTAAATTAAAGATTATCAATGAAATAATATGATCATCCCAGTAATAATCTTGTATTTTCATTAACTAGATGATGGAAATGTTAGAGATACAATGATTATCAACATGAAATAACCAAAAATTATTAAATGAGAATGAAAATTATCAATAAAGTATAAAATAAAAAATATATTAGGTGATAGAATAAACCACAAAGAGAAAGTTTCCCCAATGTGATAAAAATTAAAGTCACAAATAGCATGAAGGAGGGAGGTACCGGGGTCCAGGGGCCGGTGAACCAGGCGGCGGCACAGGCGTCAGCTCGAGGACACGGCCGAGTCTCTGGTGGTCGCTCTTGCTGGTCACATTCTCCCTCCACTGAGTTGATCCCTGGCGAGCACCACACCCGCCGCCTCTGTACCCCGCCCTCACACCCACCCACACACTGTAACACACGGTATATGTACGTTAGAACTGTGTGGAAGCAAACACTAGTAATATCATCCCATACACTATAACACACACACACACACACACACACACACACACACACACACACACACACACACACACAGGAGACTCTACAGTAATATCAGACGTCTCGTACCACTGAATATTCTCCACATCCTCCCGGGCATCACATCCCTAAACCTGAACCTAAACCTATTTCACATTGTTACATTTCAACACAAAATAATTAGTCTATCTCATCACTGGATCATTATTTTAAGTAATATAAGGAATTAATTATGTATTACAAAGTTAATACAGGTCTCAGTAAGCCTACACACCTCCTCTGACCAGTCAGTGTAGAACCAGGTGTGATGGGCGCAGGTGTGGGCGTGACACAGCTCCTGCTTGGGCGGCTTTTCCTGTACGTTACACTGGTCGTCAGACACACGGCGCCCCTCAGTCCGACAGGTGACCAGCCGGGTCTTCACTCCCGTGCCACACTCCACCGAGCACTGTATCACACCAAGTACATGTCAGGTTAGATAGATATATAGATATACAGTAAAGATGTCATACAAGTTTACAATTGTTCATCATGCATATAGACAATGCAGGTACACAGTTCAGCTGCCTTAAATTGAGACAAAAAATTGCTGTTCTCCATCCGGCTCTTACTCTATCCCAGCTCGAGACCCGCCAGGTATACAGTATGTGCACGATAGAACCGTCTATTACGAAACAAACACATGAACCAACCAAAAGTTCAAAACTAACTTAACACAACCTAACCTAATCCAATAATGTTAGGTTTGGTTTATATCTTGTGTCAGAGGTTGTGTCTCATTGAACATGTGTAACCTAACCAAGTGGGCCTCGTGCGAGTGACTGCCATATGTTTTGTTTATAGGTTATATATCTACCCAGAACCCAGCTCTCTTGCGGGAATAAACCGAAAGCAGTACCCAGAAATCCTTGACAATAGTTTGCGCTCAAACTCTGCTGACCATTACAGAAAACGATGAAACTACGAAACTGAACTAACATACAAGAGGGTAACTTAAGTATTCACTGTTAGCAGACCTGCGTCCAGGCGGTGACTTCCCATCGTGAACAAGGCGCCAGAGTACAGGGCTGTGTGAGGGGGACCATAGTGGATCTTGAGGGTGAGGGGCAGGTGGAGGGCGGAACAGCACGAACAAGAGTGGGCGTGACCTCCTGCACACACGCCCACGTCCTGGTCATGAGCCCGGTGCCGCAGGAGGCTGAACACTGCGACCACTCTCCCAGCTGCCACCTGACGGCCAAACCATATTAATTATAAAATAACACTAAGGTAGTCTGGAAGTCATCACTACCAATGGCTAGGTGGGAGCAAAGTTAACACAGGGTCGGAGAGACAAGGCCTTCATGACGAAACGTGAGGAAGAAAGTTGTCTCTCTGACCCTGTGTTTCCTTTTCTGCCACCTAACAGTTTGTCCAAATGAATCCTAGTTATGCTACCATTACACTATCATCACTACCATAAGTATAAACTGTACTACCATTATTCTATTTTAGGTAAGGCTAGGGGTAGGTTAAGTTAGGTTAGGTTAAGTACCCTTCTATAATGGGTTGTACTTACAAAGGCAGACACGAGCATGGGTTACAGTGCGCAGTAATTACAGGGGGGGACAGAGACGTGGATTAGAGTGGGCGGTACTTACGAGGGCGGACAGGGGCGTGGGTTACAGTGCACCGTCTGTGGGGGCGGCTTGGGCGCCTGGCACATCTCCTCCTGCATGATGGTGCCGCCCTGTCCCGTGCAGATGTACACCGTCTGTTGCTGTCCTGGGGGAGACGGAGGCGCGTGAGACAGTGATAGTGCGTGACAGTGTAACGTGACCTACTGAAGTAAAGGACTGTGTGAGACCGCTAGACAGTGTTTGAACAGTACAGTACATGACCCAGTGAAGGAAGAGGCTGAAGACAGGTGACACAGTTCTCTACACCCAACCCGTAACCCACTCACCTCCGCCACAGGTGCGCGAACACGGCGTGAATTTCCACACCTTCCAGGTGGGCGTGGTGGATCTAGCGCCGTCTGGGGCGGCCTGGAGCCCCGCGCCACCCACACTGTTGTCAACCACTTGGCCGGTGACGCCTTGGGTGGCGGGTGGTAGACCCAGGCGGTTGTCGAGGGTGGCGGCGTAGTCCCCCGGTCCCGCCCCCGCCGCACCGCCGCCCTCGCTGTATGAAGAAGCCAGGTACGCCGGCAGCACGTTTTGGAGGGAGGACTGTCCCCGGTGCTGGTGGCCCGCCCCACGACCACGCCCACGCCCCTGACTATGGGCGTGAGGCGGCGGGTTGGGAGGGCCCATAGGATGCCAGTACTCGTATCTGACGCCCTGGTTGGTGGACTGATAGATAATCTGTGGAGAGAGAGAGAGAGAGAGGCCTGACAGGGTACACTAACACGGCCCACCTACAGTACACCACCTTACATCATTTCTTCCTCTGACAGATGAAGGAGGAGTTGGACTATAACATTAATTAATTATTTTAAATAATAGGTATTGCAATGATAATGATAATAATAATAATAATAATAATAATAATAATAATAATAATAATAATAATAATAACAATAATAATAATGATAATAATAATAATAATAATAATAATAATAATAATAATAATAATAATAATAATAATAATAATAATAATTGGATTTAGTGCTGTAAATTTGGTACATACTCGGGTTACAGTGTATAGACAGGACAGGTACAGTACTGTATGGCCCCGTAAAATCTAGGGGCAGTCTATAATGTCCCATAACCACCATCACCAACAGTCACCATCACCACTATCACCACCACTATCACCATCAACTTACCATTATATCTATAGACAT